CCCGTACAAACCTCAACGTGGCTCCATCAGCTTCATGCCACACAAACAGCCTTCACCTGGACAAGAGAAGACACTAGACGCGCTTCAGGTTCAATAACAGTTCGCACACGTTTTGAAACTGCAGACATCGACACCCTTTGACGGAAAGGATTTCTATACCTAGTCATTCGATTTTGAGCTGATGATGGAGGGCGCGCAGATTCTCGGATTCTTTGACGGATTCCTGCCATACCCAACACACGGGACACAATACGACAAGCAACAGTACACGTATCAGTCGCTGATGGCGTATACAATTCTTCTGCGAAACATAACTCCGAATGAGCAGTAGAACATCCGGTCTTATCGTGGATACGGCAACTCCGCCGAGCTCGCGTACAACCACCTGAAGAACCTGTATCAAGCAACAGACAGTGTTAATCAAAGTCGTCTCATGGCACAGCTGACAACAGTGGAAATGAAGCCCGGCGAAAAGGTGATGGCGTATATCAGACGTTATCGTGGACAGCGCGATAGACTCCTTCGATGCGGAAAATCGATATCCGAAGAAGCCTTTGTGACAATTGTCATCACTGGCCTCGGTCCTCATTGGCGCTCCATTCGAGCTATCCTCCGAGCTCACGGGAAGATCTCTGAAGTGGCACTCTGCGCCGAAATTCACGCTGAACAGCAATACATGGACCTACACGAAGAACGACACAAAAAGGGAGCGTCAGCACCAGATTTCGCGTTCCACACTCAACGGCGCTACAACAACAATAACAATCGACAGAACAAACATCAAGCTCAACAATATGTACCACCGTTCTGCCATCTCTGCAAGACGTCAGGACACCTTTGCACACACTGCCCGAATCAGCAGCAGTCAACGCTGCCGCAACGTCAACTTCGACCCTCAAGCAGTCAAGTTGCTTCTACACAAGCGCATCCCACCAATCAAGTACAGTCCTCAACGACATCAACGACAAAACCTGCACAAGGCGCAAGAAACATCGTAAGATGCATGGCAAGAATAACAGACTCCTGCATCATCGTATCGCCACCATACTACTCATCACAAGAACAACTCGACGAAAGCACCCCTCGCCGTGAATCATTAAAACCGAATCCGACGTACGCAGCCATCGCCCGGAGCGAGCCGTCTGGGAAAGACACCTGGTTCTTGGACAGCTACTGCAGATAGCACATGTGCTCATCGAGTCGCTTTGTTCGATGGGAACACCAACTTCAGCGCAAAGTCGTAATCACCGTCGCCAACAACCAGAGTCTGCGCACACGACGACAGGGGATAGTTCAACTTCAGTCTTGAGAATCCAACAATATTCTACAGATGTCAAAAGTTCTAATCGCAGAAGGACTCGGCTATAACTTACTCAGCGTCAGTCGACCAACGGCGAAGGGAATTCATCTCGAAGCAGACAGCACCACCTAGGAGTTCAAGCTATACCACGGGAGAGGTGGGCTCTACATCGGCAAGGCAGTCTTGAAGAACAATGTCTTTGTTCTTGACTTCGTTCCGGACCAAGGCACCGCCGACAGCGATGCCATCGTCAATTTCACCTCTTGGACACACCCGCCAGATCTCGACCCCGGCTTAAGTCCTGGAGGCTTCTGGTACTCGCACACTATACTTGAAGCAGAACGAACGAGAGCATTGGTGACAATTCAACAAACATCGGCAGCAGCAGAGACAACACCGGCAGCAGCAAAGACAGCACTGGCAGCAGCAGAGACAACACCGGCAGCAGCAGAGACAACACCGGCAGCAGCAGAGACAACACCGGCAGCAGCAGAAGCAACACCAACTACGACACCAAACGCGGGTCCTTCAACGGCACCAGCTTTCATCGACGACACTCCACCGACTCCTGCGCAGCAGTTGTCTCCCACTCCACGCGAAGTTCACAGAAGTGCCAACCTCACCGCAGGATTTTACTCCAACTCCGATCTGTACAGGCGTTCACTAGGACACCGCACCAGTGAATCCATCTGGCATGCAAGGATGGGACACCCGAGCAACACAACACCAAACAACGCGATAAGAGTTGGAGTCCTCGACAAAGACTCACTGCTACTACACGACGGCAGAGAACTTCAACGAGTTCGCGGAACATGTTTTACCTGCCCTGAAGCCGACTTACCTCACCAGCCGTTTGTCTCTCATCACAACCCGAGCGCACCTGCATACGCTGTCAAACTTATTCTCTACAGTTTGTTTAGGCTGTATTGGGGTAGTTACTATGGGATACAGTAAGTTTAGGGTTTACTACTTGTACCCACCACTTTCCTAGTGCAAACACACTTGTTTATTCTGACATGGTATTATGAGCCTAGGTTAGGAACCTAGGACCGCTTACCTAAGGGCCCACCGTTCCACTAGAAGCGCCCTCGTGCGCCCCACCATCTTAGCGCCCTCGTGCGCCTCTCTGCTAGTGCGCCCTCGCGCGCCCTCTTTCTCACGCTGCCCGTTTGCAGCCCGCTAGCCGCCCGAGCGTGCCCCCCCCCGTTTTTAGCGCGAGCAGCCCGCTAGCCGCCAGAGCGCGGCCCGTTTTTTCTCGCGCGCGCCAGTAGGCCGTCGCCCGTAGGCCCCGCTCGCCCCTAGGCCGACGCTCGACCCGCCGCCGCCCGCCCGCAGGTCGCAGCCCGCGCGCAGCGGCGATCGCGCGTCGGCTGCTGCAGCTCGCGCTTAGCCACCGCACGAACGCAGCCGCGGCCCGCGCGCAACCGCACCCTTGGCGCCGCCACGCACCGTGCACAGGCCCGCCGTCGCGCCGCCCTGTCTGCCCGAGCCGCGCCGCGCCGTCCTGCCCGAGTCGCGCCGCCCTTACCGAGCCGCGCTACCACACCTGCAGCAACTGCTGCTTCTGTTCCTGCTGTTACAGCTGTTCTTACTGCTACAGCTGCTCCTGCTACTGCTGCTACTGCTACTGCTGCCACCATGGCTACTCCCACCATTCTCTCTTTCGATGCTGAGGGCCGCCCGGTTCAGTTTGACGCTTGGCTCGACGACCTGCACCTGTTCCTACAGAACACTGCCAAGGACGATATCTCACTGTACGATCACGCGTCCGGAACCGCTCCCGCACCTGCTGAGACTGCTGACAATACTGCTCGCTCCCAGTGGCAGACTCGTGACGCTCACGCTCGCCTAGCCATTCGCAGCCACCTACCGCTAGATGAGCGCGCGTATTTTGGCCAGCACAAGACTGCTAAGGCACTGTACGATGCTGTAGTAGCGCGCTACTCCTCGCCTGCCTCTGCTACGATCGGCCGTCTCTCGCTGCCCTATCTTTTCCCCGATCTGGCCGCCTTTCCCACAGTCGCTGACCTCATTACTCACCTCCGCACTAGTGACACTCGCTACCAAACCGCCCTTCCTGCTGAGTTTCTAGCCAAGAATCCTCCCCCGATGTACCTCGTTCTCCACCACCTAGTCACCCGTCTCCCTGACTCCCTTCGCACAGTCAGGGACCACTTTCTCGCCCTCTGCCCCAACGAGCTCACCGTTGACCTGCTCGAGAAGCACCTGCTTGCAACTGAGGCTAGCATAGTCACTGTAGGTGCCTCTCGTGGCGACCCCCGCACGCCCTTCTTTGACGGGTGTTCCCCTCCCCCCCTTCTCCCCTCGGTCGCCTCTGCTGCCGCTTTCGACTACCTTGTTGCTGAGGAAGTCAGGGCTGCGTCTGCTCCTAGTGGGAGGCGCAATGGCGGCAGGGGCAAGGGGGGCAAGGGTGGTGGCGGTGACAGCGGGGGAGGTGGAGGTGGCGGTGGAGGCGGTGGGGGCGGTGGGGGTGGTGGCGGTGGTGGGGGTGGTGGCGGGGTTGGGGGGGTCAGTGGCAGCGGCGGGAGTGGTGGCGGCAGTGGTGGTGGAGGGGGCCGGGGTGGAGGCGGTGGTGGTGGCGGCAGCAGGCGTGGTGGCGGCGGCTGGGGTGGTGGTCGGGGTGGACCAGCGCAGCGTGGAGGTTCGGGTGGTGTCCAGCGCCAACAGCAGCGTCTAGGAGAGACCCCAACGCCCCAGCAGCTTCGTGAGTGGTACTCTCAGCATGGGGGGTCTGTGGGTGGAGGTACCTGCCCGTATGTCATCCGCACAGCTGACCGCGCTGGTCAGACGTGTGGGTGGCCCCACACGCAGCAGCGCTGCTTCTACCATCTCGACGACGACTGGCGTGCACAGTTCCCTGACGCCTCTGAGCTGCCCCGCTGGGCTGATCTGCTTAAAAAGAACATTGATATCTTTGCTCTTGACTTTGATGTTATCCTTGGTGCTATGTATGCATTGTCTACTAGTGTTGAGGGTGACTCTTACCTGCGTGTCCCGCCCGACCCGGGCATTGCGTCCAGTGAGGCTGCCGCTCTAGGTGCTAGTGCGTCTGCTGCCCCAGGTCCTAGTGAAGCTTTTGCTCTAGGTGCTGGTGAGTCTGCTGCTTCATGTGCTCGTGCGTCTGCGCTTTCAGGTACTGCATCTACTGCGGCATTGCACACCTTCACGCTGGACTCCGGTGCTTCCCGTTGTTTCTTTCGGGACCGCACTGCTCTAGCGCAGCTCCCGAGGCCTGTTGCTGTCTCCCTGGCTGACCCCTCCGGGGGTCCGGTCCTTGCGACCTCCACCACTGCCCTCCCTTGTCCTGCTGTCCCGTCCGGCACGCTGTCTGGTCTTTACCTCCCCTCGTTCTCTACGAACTTGGTGGCGGGGTCCGCGCTCCAGGACGCGGGTGTTCACCAGTTCACCCCTGCCTACGAGCGTGTGACACACTGCACGTGTGCTCAGACGGGTCGTCACCTGGCTACCTTCACTCGGCAGCCGGGGTCGGACCTGTACACACTGCCACTGAGTCCCCTCAGGTAGCTGCGTCTGCGTCAGCGTCAGGTCAGTTGTCCGCCCCCTGCTCGTGTCGGACCTTGTCGCACCGGACGGTCCTCTGGCATCACCGCCTTGGTCACCCTTCGTTGCAGCGCCTTCGTGGCATGCACTCCCGGTACCTTGTCTCTGGTCTCCCCAGGTCACTGCCTCCTCTGCCACAGTCCCTTGCCCCTCCTTGCCTTCCCTGTGTCGAGGGGCGGCAGCGCGCTGCCCCCCACTCCTCTGAGTTCCCCCCGATGGAGGCTCCTCTGCAGACCCTTCACATGGACGTGTGGGGCCCAGCCCGCGTCCGTGGACAGGGCGGAGAGCACTACTTTCTGCTGGTAGTTGACGACTAAACGCGTTACACCACGGTCTTCCCCTTGCGCACCAAGGGTGAGGTCCCTGATGTCTTGATCCCTTGGATCCGCGCTACCCGTCTCCAGCTAGAGAGGCGCTTTCATACGGACCTTCCCGTCCTGCGACTGCACTCTGACAGAGGTGGTGAGTTTTCCTCCGGCCTCTTGAGGGCCTTCTGTCAGGGGGAGGGGATTAAGCAGACGTTCACGTTTCCGGCCTCTCCGCAGCAAAATGGGGTTGCTGAGCGCCGCATTGGCTCAGTCATGGAGGTCGCTCGTACCTCCTTGATCCATGCGGCTGCCCCCCATTTTCTGTGGCCGTTTGCGGTCCGGTACGCCGCGCATCAGCTCAACCTCTGGCCCCGTGTCTCCGTTCCGGAGACCTCGCCGACACTGCGTTGGACGGGAGAGGTTGGCGATGCGTCCGACTTCCTGGTCTGGGGATCTCGTGCCTTTGTCCGCGATACGTCCGCGGACAAGCTCTCCTCCCGTGCCGTTCCCTACGTCTTCCTTGGCTTCCCCCCTGACACGCCTGGTTGGCAGTTTTACCACCCCACCTCGCGCCGTGTTCTGTCCTCTCAGGACGTCACGTTTGACGAGTCAGTCCCCTTTTACCGTCTCTTCCCCTACCGCACTACCCCGCTCCCCCCTCCGCCGCTCTTCCTCACGCCAGGTGCTGCTTCGGTAGACCCCCTGCCTCCCCAGGGTCCTGCTCCCTCAGGTGTGTCCCAGGTAGACCCAGTCGAGCCTGTCGAGGTAGCTGTCGACTCTGGTCCTGCGCGAGGTACTGAGCCTGAGCGTGCTGCGCCTAGGGGTGCTGAGACTGGGGGTGCTGAGCCTGAGGGTGCGGGGCCTGGGGGTGTGGGGCCTGGGGGTGCGGAGCCTGGGGGTGCTGAGCCTGGGGGTGCTAAGCCTGGAGGTCCTGAGCCTGGGGGTACTGCGCCTGGGGGCGCTCTCTCGTCCCAGCAGCTGCGTGAGTGGTACTCTCAGCACTGTCGCCGCAGACGTGGTGCTGTGGGAGCTGGGGGTGCTACTGGAGCTGGAGCTGAGGGCGCTGGAGCTACTGGTGCTGGTGTGGCTGCCGACCCTGGGGTTGGCACTGGAGGTGCTGGCGTCACTGGTCCTGGAGGTGCTCGTACTGGAGGTGCTGAAGCTGCTGGGACTGGAGGTGCTGCTGGAGCCGCTGGAGGTGCTGGGGCTAGTGGTACTGCAGGGGCTGGAGCTGGAGGCGCTGCCGCTCGTCCTACTGGAGGTGGTGGAGCTGACGGTGCTGCTGGTGCGGGTGCTCCTGGGGGTCCTGGAGTTGGCGCTGCTAGAGCTCATGGAGGTGCTGCAGGAGTTGGAGCCGCCGCTGGGGGTGCTGGTGCTGTCTCTGCTGGTTCTGGGGGCGCTGCGCGGCCGCAGCCGTACTTCGTTCCGCTCCTTCAGCAGGTTCTTGGTCTCCCGCCTTCTACTGGTCCTGCCCCCTCCTTAGAGTGTCCACCGCCTGTCCAGTCGCAGTCACCGTTACAGCCTGCGTCCCCGCTGCCTGCTCCTTCTCCTTACACTGGTCCGACCGGAGGTCTTACTGAGCGTCGTGAGCCTGAGTCCCGTCCTGCGTCGCCTGTTCGTGCTGCTCGCACTGGTCGTCGTGTTCCGCGTCAGCGTCCTCCTGCAGTCCCAGGCACGCACCAGATGGCACTTCATCCTTCCACTGCTCCACAGCGTGTCCCTCTACCGTCTCCTCCTGCGTCCTCTCTTCCTGCCCTTGCTGACCCGGAGTCTGACTCCCTTCGTGCTACTAGTCCTACTGTCACGCGTCTCCTGGCCACCGCTGTCACTGACCCTTCCTTTGAGTCCGCTGCTGCGTCTGCCTTAGTTGCTGAGCTTGTCGACTTTGCTGCTCGCTGTCGTCTAGACTACGCCGCGAGTCTGGTTGCTGGGTCTGAGTCTGTCTGTCCTCCATCCGTCGGGGGTGAGTGTGCTCTTGGCACGGACGTCCTTGAGGACAGGCAGGAGGACTTTGAGTGCTTTGCAGCCGCTTTACCTCATCTCGTGTCCATGCTGATTGCACCTGAGGGAGACCCGGATGCACCAGACATCCCGACCCCGCGCTCTTACGCAGAGGCGATAGAGGGTCCCAACTCCTCTCAGTGGCAGTCAGCCATGGACGCAGAGATGGCATCCTAGAAGTCCACAGGCACTTACGTTGACGAGGTTCCCCCACCTGGGGCGAACATCGTCAGTGGCATGTGGATTTTCAGGGTGAAGCGGCCGCCGGGTTCTCCGCCTGTCTTCAAGGCACGTTACGTTGCTCGAGGCTTCAGTCAGCGACAGGGAGTTGACTTCTTCCAGACCTTCTCCCCGACCCCGAAGATGACCACTCTTCGGGTTCTGCTGCACGTCGCTGCTCAGTGTGACTACGAGCTTCACTCTCTTGACTTCAGCACTGCTTTCCTACAGGGCAGCCTGCACGAGGAGATCTGGCTGCGCCGCCCTCCTGGCTTCACTGGGTCGTTTCCTCCTGGTACCCAGTGGAGCCTCCGGCAGCCAGTCTACGGTCTCCGCCAGGCGCCCCGTGAGTGGCACGACACACTGAGGACTACGCTTGCGGCTCTTGGGTTTGCTCCTTCTACTGCTGTTCCCGTCGCTGTTTCTCCGCACCGACACTTCGTTGCCGCCGTTCTACATCCTCGTGTACGTCGACGACTTGGTCTTTGCCACTGCTGACACTGCTGGACTCGCCCACGTGAAGTCCGAGCTGCAGAAGAGACACACGTGCACAGACCTGGGTGAACTGCGCAGCTATTTTGGCTTGCAGATCACCCGGGACAGAGCACAGCGCACCATTACCTTGACACAGTCACACATGGTGCAGCAGGTCCTTCAGCGCTTCAACTTCACATACTCCTCGCCTCAGGCCACTCCTCTGTCTACTAACCACTCGCTCTCAGCTCTGCCTTCGGATGAGTCTGCAGAGCCGAGTGGCCCGTACCCAGAGCTTGTTGGCTGCCTCATGTACCTGATGACCTGCACTCGACCTAACTTGGCATACCCTCTTAGCATCTTGGCACGCTATGTTGCTTCTGGGAGAAACCGACCAGAGAACATGGTTGCAGCGAAGAGGGTGTTGCGCTACCTGTGCAGTACGTTGGGCATGGGGCTTGTGCTTCGAGGACGGGCTCGAGTTGTTCTCACTGGTCACGCAAACGCTTCTTGGGTTGACGACTTGGCTACGCAGCGGTCGTCACAGGGTTACACCTTCAGCCTTGGCTCCGGTTCTGTTTCGTGGCGGTCTACCCGCTCGTCTTCTGTTCTCAGCTCCAGCTGTGAGGCTGAGATCTACGCAGGGGCCATGGCTGCACAGGAGTTACGCTGGCTCACCTACCTGGTGACCGACTTGGGAGAGGTGCCTCGTTCTCCTCCAGTTCTGTACGTCGACAACAAAGCCATGCTGGCCTTGTGTCAGGAGCACAGACTGGAGCACAGAACGAAGCACATTGCCCTTACTTTCTTGCTCGAGAGCTGCAGCAGCGCGGTCAGCTTCGTCTTGCTTACGTGGCCTCTCGGGCCAACACTGCTGATATCTTCACCAAGGCACTTCCGCCTTGTGATCATGAGCGTTTTTGTACTGTTCTAGGCCTTGTGCGTACCTTGCCTCACCTGCTCACTTCTTGACTTTGCTTGTACTGTGATCTATATATCTATACCTGCATGCTTTCACTTGCTAGGTTTTGATCAATGTCCTGTTTGTTCTGCCTATGGGGGTGTGTCAAACTTATACTCTACAGTTTGTTTAGGCTGTAGTGGGGTAGTTACTATGGGGTACAGTAAGTTTAGGGTTTAGTACTTGTACCCACCACTTTCCTAGTGCAAACACGCTTGTTTATTCTGACATACGCACCACTGGAGAAGGTTTAGAGTGACATACTACGTCAAGCATGAAAGCGGACAGGGAGCCTACAACTACGTCATCACGTTCATCGATGCCGCCACCCGATACGTCTGGCACCTCAACCTTCCTAGCCGCGACATGGCTTTCGAAGCCTTCGTCACCTGGCTTCCAATAGCAGAAAGGGAATGAGGAGTGAAGCTGAAAAGCTTCCAGTCGGACGGAGGAGGAGAATATCAGTCACAGCGATTTACGCAGTACCTGGCAGAAAGAGGCATCAAGCGACTCATCTCGCTTCCCTACGCTCATCAGTAGAAAGGCGTGGTAGAAAGATTGGACAGGACCCTCTAGAACACCATGCGCAAGCTGCTACGTGGCATGCTACTACCCAACCGCCAGTGGCCCGAGGCGATGGACCACGCTGTCATATTGCACAACTTGCTCTTGTCATCATCGCTCCCGAACAACGCATCACCGCATCTGCTGTGGACAGGAAAATTGGGCAGCACAAAAATGTTACGAGTACTCGGGTGTATGGTACAGTACCGAACCCCAGCTGCACGAGCCAGCCGATTCTCCCAACGCGCACAGTGGGGACTAAACTTGGGCATCGAAAAACACTACAACGCATGGAATATTTTTTACGTCCACATAAAGGAAACAGTAGCAGCACCTGATGACATTTTCTACGAGCGACTCACACTTCAGACGTACCTGGACAACCTGGAAGCAGAACGAGATGTCACGGGCGGATTTCGTGGGGACCGAGCCTTCGCTTCGGCAGCAGATGAAGCCGGAGGAAGCTAGACCTCTTCCTACTCTGTGGACATTCCCATGGACGACGACAACCCTCGCGAAAGTGTCAACGCCGAAGACTACCACGACTTTGCCGACAAAGGTTATGTTACACCCCAACCGGTCGACACCAACGTCTCCGAACGCATAGGGCCCAATTTCCTACCAAACAGTTTATCTCGAGAAGCGGGAGATGAAGCAGCTTATCTCGAGGACTCAAACCTTCCCCGCTACACACAGAGTGGGCTGCAGATACTAGGCCTCGTCACCGCTGTCCATGGAGCAGCGCCACCTAAGGGGCCTGCCGCAATTCAGCACGCTCTGGGGGGGGAGCACAGGGAAAAATGGCGCGAAGCCATGGACAGAGAGTTAAAAGCGCTGGAAGACCGCAACACCTGGAAAATCGTACCCATCGGAGTGGCACGCAACAAAACCGTTCTCACCGGAAAATGGGTCTTCCTCGTGAAAACAAAAGCCGACGGAACCATCGACAAGTTCAAAGCACGCTGGATCGTACGCGGCTTCGATCAAGAGCATGGACAAGACTTCACCGAAACCTTCACGCCAGTTAGCCGACACACCTCACTACGGATTCTTCTCGCGATAGCCGCCATGAAGCGGAAGAAACTCTGCCAAATCGACGTCGCCAATGCCTTTCTGTACGCTCCTGTCGATGCTGAGATTTTCGCCGAACAACCACACGGCTCTTACGCAGACTCGAATCAAGTCTGTCAGCAACCCAATCAAGTCTGTCACTGTACGGCATCAAGCAAGCTCCGAGGCTGTGGCAGCAGTATTTTAACGCCCGACTAGTCCGCATCGGATTCCGCCAACTACCGTATGACCAAGGAATGTACCGACTCACTAAAGGGACCGACTACATCCTGCTCATCGTTTACGTAGATGACCTACTCTACATCGGCTCAACTGACAACATCACGACTTGGTTCGAAGGGGAGCTGCAGCGGGACCTCACGCTTACCGTCTCGTCTACCGTGACTCAGTACCTGGGACTCAACATACAAGAAGGGGAGAACGCGATCCATCTTAGCGCCGCAAAATACGCCAACGCCATCGCCAAACGCTTCAGACTAGCCCCGGCTACCATCACCACGCCATATTGCTACACCGACGGAAATCGCAAGGAAGCCTCCGCCCTACTCAAACCCGCCGTCATTCGCGACTACCAACGAAAGCTAGGATGTCTACTCTTCGCAGCCGTTACCTGCCGACCGGACCTATCTTACTCAGCTAGCCAACTCGCCACCTACCTCAAGAAGCCTGAAACATATCACATGGCGGAGCTTGACCGTCACTACCTCGTCAGCACCCCGACGATCGGCCTAACCTACCACAAGACCGGAACTACGACGCCCAAGCTAATTGGTTATGTGGATGCTGATCACGCCGGCGACTCCGACAACAGGCGATCGCGCACCGGCTACATCTACCGACTCCAACCTATCGGCCCCATCTCGTGGCAGTCGACCAAGCAAGAGCTAATTGCTTTCTCCTCAGCTGAAGCATAATATATCGCACTCCGCTCAGCCACCAAGGAAGGATTGTACCTTCGCAAACTAGTGGAAGAAGCGAAGCTGGCTCAGTTACCCAACTTCTGCTTGTTCTACAACAACCAATCAGCCATTCGCATAGCGAACAAGAAGGGGTTCGCGAATCGAACGGAACACATCGCCCTCCGGTACTTCTTCGTAAAAGACGAAATCGAGAAGGGGATACTTGAGCTATCTTACTGTCCCACATCTAAGATGGCAGCCGATTACTTGACCAAGAAACTGGGAAAGCAGAAGTTCGAGTATTGCATGCTGCTGACTGGACAAGGCCACGTTATCAGCAGCGACACTCCATAAGCGAAGGGGAGTGTTGGAAACAAGTAATTTAACGCTCCTGTTGTGTCAAAACAATAGACTACAAACGAGGCGAATCGTGGCGGAGCAACGGCGAGTCAACCGAGGAGGTTGACAGAAAGTAACAGCTGGAGGTTACACGAAGGTCAAAGGTCAGCGACCTTTGACTCGACGAAATACAGCGCGACAGCAAGGACAAACAACTGACTCGGTATTGAGCAGTTGCCCGAGTCGTCACTGTATCGAACCGCAACAACAACAAAAAAGTTAGCTGCACCTTTTCATATTCCTTGTAATCATATAAAAGCCTTTGTATTACCTTGCTATAATCAAATTTCTTGCTCTCGCACACTAGTGCAAGTTGGTTCAACAAGTTCACTAAGAACGCTTCCGCAACTACAACATTCCTACTCAGGGTCTTAGCCTTGAAAGATCCTAAGGGCTTTTCTTAGCCCAACAATAGTTGGGGACCGGCCATGAGCACCATGCTCCAGATAGAAGCGCCGGCGCTTTTGATTAGGACGGCGCCTATATCCGGGGCCATACGGTACGGTATTAAGACCTAGACAAATGCTGACATTTGTGAGGGCTCCCCCCCCCCCCCCCATTTTTTTTTGCAAGTCTGTTAAGACCCCCAG